TTGAAAAGATAGTTATAGAATAGGATTAATTATCCAGAATAATGAATAACAAAAAAAAATAGTTTATTCACAACTATTTAATTAAATTCTTATTAATAATTTTGATAAGAAAAATCATTTGATATATTAAACTTTTTGCCGAATTATTTAATAATGTAGGTAAAATATTTTATAATAATTTCATAAAATTTTCATGTAAGAAAAATTCATTTTTGTTTTTAATACATTGAGTCTTGAGTAAAATTTCATAACTTTGTTTCTTTACATTGTTAAATGTTTGAAGTATTTATCTATATCTTTTCATTAAGCTTTATCTTATTCTCTACTTCTTTAAAGATATGATAGTTAATTTATAAAATATGTTTTATCATATTTAAAGTAAAGGCACATGGTAGAGAGTCATTTGTTAAAGAGGAATTTATTTGTCAATTTTGAATAATTGGTTATTGTTAATAGTAGAAGATTACGTAATAACTGAAACACACGAAAAATTAAAATCATACTTTTGTAAAACTACAAAAAATATGAAATACTTCTAGAAGAACAAAAAATAAAAAAATGAAATAAAGTAATTTCTAATAAATAGATGAGGAATAATAAATCAATTATTTTTTATCGTTATTTATTAATAGATTTAATAGTCAAAAAAAAAATTTTAGTAAAAAAATGAACAAATTAAATAAAGAATTAATAAAAAATAAAAAATTATAAGAAAAGTGATAATTAGTTAAACTTAGAATGAAGAGATGTATAAATAGTAAAGTTATAAATAGGGAAATAAAGAGAATAAAATGAAAGTAATAAAAAAATAAATAAAAAGAAATGAAAAAAAAAACATATAAAAGAAAAAAACATCCTAAAAAATGTATATTATAATCTGATGTCTAAACAAACACAAAAACAATTAGAAGAAGATATCATAAGAGAAATTAATAGAAAGAAAAAAGAAAGAGCAAAGAATTCAGAGTGTTATCAAATAGGATTTATGATCTATCTTATGGTTAAAAATAAAAGAGAAGTTGTTATTCAACGGTTCGAAAAAAAAAGTAAAAAAACAGAACAATTTTATAGAGTAATTGAAATTAGAGGGAATGAAACTTTTAAATTAAAAGAAGAAGTTGAAAAAGAAGCTAAAGAACAAGCAGAACTTATTCAAAATATATCACAAAGAAAACGGTATTATCAAAAAAATTGTTCTTCTGTTGCTTTTAATTGGATAGTAAAAATACTTCAAAATATTGGATATTCATTTGAATTTATGAATTCTAAAGAATCAATTAATACAGTTAAAATGAAACGATTTAAACACGTTCATTTTATGAATGAAGATTTTCCTAAAGAATTAATAGAAAAAATTGGCAAAAAAACTCTTAACTTCTTAGGAAAAAAATTTGAAGAAACTGAATCAAAAGAAATAATCATTAATTCTCAAATAGATTCTTCTATTGAAAAAATTCTTGAAGATAAAAATGATCAGATAAATGAAGATGAAATAAGTGTTGGTTCTTCATATCCTTCTTCACTTCATCAACAATTTACTACTCCAATTAATACAGAAAATGTTTATTATATTCAGGGGTTAAATTCTTTTTATCAATTGATTCCTGTTGATTTAACGGTTGGTACTACTGGACTATTACCACGTCATGAACCTTATAACCAATGTGAAACATTTTTAGTGGGATATTCTCCAACAAATTATACACAACAACCTCTTTTGCCAATGTCTTTAGTGAGTAATATTACTCAATCAAACATAGCCTTCATCAAGCCATATGCTTGATATTTTCATAGTTTAATTGATATTGTAGTTTCTGTATGTTTCTTCTCGTAGTTTATATTTGAGATGATGCAAATATTTTTTGCTTTTATAACCATTTTATTTTATTTAAAAAATGATGTGAATGAAAGAAAAATAATAAAATTATAATAAAATTAATTATAATTATTCATACCTAAAAAGAAAAATTACAAACTTATGAAGAAATTAAAAACAAAGTGATAGAACTAATAATTAAAAGATGACTGAAGGAGAACGTAGCTTTGATGAGAAACATCAAATTCTTATTCCAATAATTGGAAATTTTGGAGTTGGAAAAACTTCTTTATTATTTACTTTTACAGAACAGGACTATGAAGAAGCACCAATAGAAATTGGAAGAGATTATATTCCATTCCAATATAAATATAAAGGAGAATATTATGAAATTCACTTGTGGGATACAAATGGAACTGAAAAATATGGGAGAGTTACTTCACGTGCTAATAAAGGTGACGGATATATTATTGTCTGTTCTTATGATAATGGAGATTGTTTAGAAAATATTGGTCAACATATTGAACAAACTATGTTTTCTGAAAGGTTTGGTGCAACTGAATATAATAGAGAAGCACCATTTACAGTCGTATGTACTAAACATGACTTATTAGAAGATAGTGAAAGTTGTGCTTTTACTGAAGAAGATTTTAATAGTTTTTGTAAAGACAATGAATTTAAATTATCAGCATCCGATCTTGATTATTCAAATTGGGACTCTATTGGAGCTGCATTTAAACCACTTTTTAATCAAGCAATACAAATGCATTTAAAGAGATATGAAGAATCTGAAGGTGAAGGATTTGGTAATTAAAATTTATTTTTTTGTTTTTTCATTCAATTAAATAATATATAAAGAATTCGTAATATATGAGTAATACTCTAATTACAATTTTTTTTTAAAAACATCGTGAGTTCTTAAAAAAAATCATACCAACAACAAACCATACAAGACAAATTATCATAATAACACTAAACCATAATAAATTTTGAATGTCCTTTCCTGGAACAGTAACATTCATACCAAATAATGAAGCAATAAATGTCATAGGTAAAAATAATATTGCAATTGCTCCAAAATCTTTCATTAACTTATTCTCTTCTTCACCATATCTATTAACACTTAAAGTAATTTTCGCAAAATACGTTTCTTGATGATTTTCAATTGAATCAATCAATGATTGTAGTTTTTCTAATAACCGTAATGTATCATCTAAAATGTCTCTTAAATAAATTTTAAGATTCTTTGATACCATCTTTGACTTTGACTTTAATATAAATCGTAAAAATGACTTCTTTGCTAAAACAAGAAATTGAAGTACTTTAGCTCGTTTCTTAAGATCTCCAATTCTTCCTAAAAATTCATCTTGATCATTATGTATTGAAACAAGTGATAATTGTTCTATTGTCTCAACATCTGAATATAAATTTTCATTTATCAATGAATAATTTGAAATAATAAGTTCTAAAATAGCATATAATACCCAATGTGCACTAGGAAATGAGCCTTGATACTTTTTTGATATTCTTGTTCTTACTTCATTAACTGCAATAATTGGTTCTGAATGTACAGTAAGAACAATATTTTTTTGAATGACAATATATAATAAATATGTTTTTAGTATATTAGTGTCATCCATATATCTCATTTCATTTATTGTAATAGCAAAATAATTCTCAAAAAATGCTGCTTTTTCTCTTGACTCTTTTGTAAACCAATCATCTACAGTTAATGGGTGTAATTCAAAAATATCTCTTATTCCATTTGCACAATCATCAGTAATAGGTGAAATGTCTAACCATAATGGAATTTTCTCTAGTTTTTGACCAGCACTTTGAATTCTTTCTTTCATATCAACTAATTCTTTAATTGTAACACTTTTTCCTTTAGCAAATTGTTGACCATATGCAATAATAATATATTCAAATGCTTCTCCATGTAAATTAATATCAAGTGGAATATCTTCAACATCTTCTGTAACGTCATTTTTATTTTCTTCTGTAGTATCTCCTTGATTTGAAATTTCTTGTTCTTCTTCTGCTTCAGTTTCTACAAAATCAATATCTTTTTCATTTTCTGTTTCTTGTTCACTTAAAACAAATAAAGAAGGAGAATGAGATCTTAATTTAATATGTTCATCAAGTTCATCTGATGAATTGCTATGCATAAATAATACAAATATATCTTTTTCAAGTTTTTTTTTAATAAAATGAAATGACAAAGAATAACTTTTACCCTTAATAAAATCATCTTTTCATAACTAATCCCAAAAATAAATTCAATTTCTATTATTTTGTTACTGATCCTTCATCTTTTTCTTGTGATGAAGTAACAACTGTAGTTATATCAGGCTGTGGATTAAAAGATTTGAACTTTACTACTAATAATGTCATGTTATCCCATCCTGGTTTAGAATATGGCTCTTTACTTAAACAGTCATTAGCAATTTTCTCACATGTTTCTTTCAATGAATTTCCTTGTTTCAAATATTCAACAACCTTCTCTACACATTGTTCATTTGTTAATACATCCCAAATTCCATCACACGCTAATATAATTAACTTTTCAGTTCCATCAATGGCTTCTTGTTTAACATCTGGATAACATGAAATAATTTGGCTTTGAGGAGGTAATTCACTTTGTCGTTTATACATTAAATCACCAATGGTTCTTGTTAAATTTAAATTACCATTAACTCTACCATTGTCAATAGTTCCTCCAGCTAATGTAATTCTATCTATTTCTGATTGTAATGATGGTTTATGATCAATACTTAATGGAATAATACTATCTCCTTTAAGCATAACACTTCTACTATCTCCTGCATTTCCACAATAAATAGTATTATCAATAATTAATATAACAACTGATGTACATCCCATACCATCAGCAACAAGGTCTCCAAACATTCCTTCATAAATATTAGAACTTCCACTTCCTAATGTTTTAAGTAAATCATTAACAGCAGGTGTTCTCATTTGTTCATCTATTTTAATATTTGTATCAATCAATGCTTGTTGGTAATTACCTGCTTTAAATGCATCTGTATTTAATAATGTTTCAACATAAACTTTTGAACAATATTCAGCCACTTGATCTCCTCCATGTCCATCAAAAACACCAAAAAATGATGCTTTTTTACCATTCTCACAAGTAAATTCAATATCAACAATATGAGCGTCTTCCATTGTTCTTCTCCATCCTTGCATTGAGGTATATCCACAATCAAGGAACTCTCCTTTAGTTTCTCCAGATTGTTGTTCAGTTACTGGGACAGAAAGAAGTGATCCCATTGTTTCTCTACTATTTACGATTATTGAGTTGCTTCTTTCTTTTTTTCCTTCTTTTTTTCCTATTTAATCGGGTTTTTTCTTTCTTAAACCAAAAATAAATTTATTTTTATTTTAAGTTTGTTTGATAAATATCAGATCTAACAAAGAGAAAAAAAAAATGAACTGAACTACCTTTGAAAAAACCATTTTTTTTTTGACTTTATAACAATTTTTTGAATTGAAATAACAAAGTTAAAAAGAACTTCAAATTAAAGAATGTCTCAAGATAAATCTGAAGTAACAATTTTATATAATGGAAGAGATACAAAATTTAATTTAAATGGTGAGAAAGTGAATTTTTTATACTTTGATGGAGCAATAGTAAATAAAGAATATTCTCTTTCATTAGAATTATTTACACAAGGAAATTTTGAATGGAAAGAAAAAGTTGTAGTAGTTGGAGTAGACATGTCATCAGATGAATATCAATTGTATTTTGATAAAGCGGATTTTGTATTTGATGGATTTAATTCAGAATTAAATGAAAATAATTCATTAAGTAGTACAGAAAAAGGAAAAACTATAAAATATTTATTTACTTCATTATTAGGAATTAACGAAAAGAGTTATAATAGAGACATTTCTCATTTATTTAATGAAAAAGAAAAAGTATTAAGACATGAAGAAGAAGAAACAAAAAAATTACTTATTTCTACTTTTTGTAATGCTTCTCCTGAGCAACGAGGAAAATATTTAAATGAATTTATTGAACGAATTGAAAAACAATTTAATGGGAAATTATTATGTTATGTCCAATCACAAAAAAATCAAATAGAATTAATAAAGAAAATTAAAAAAGATTCTATTGATATATTAGTTAAAAAAGAAAAGAATGAGTTATTAGATGATATTAAAATTAATGGAACTCTTAATGATTATTTTATTCAATTACTTAATCTTCATCTCCAATATGAACGTGGAGCTCGTTCATTATGGATTTGGAGAAAATGTAAAAGTTATTTATTTGATGACTTTAAAGATATTTTGTCATTACCAAAAACACATCAAGAAGATAAAATTAATGATAAAGGAAAATTAAAAACTCAAGAATTCTCATTTAATTTTAAAGTATTAAAACCATCTACTGAAATTAAAATGAAATTATATTTTAATTATTTTGAAGAAGGAAAGTTAAATAAAGTTGAATTTAAACAACTTACATTAAATATTATATGTAATTCATCATGTTTAATTGACTCTAGTTTCTTAGGAAAAATTGATGAACAATCTGGACTTGTTACTTTAAAAATTAAAAATTCTGAGATATATAAAGTTATTACTTTTGATAAGAAAGATTCTATGACTTATCAAGATAAAATAGTTACACCTTTATTTCTTGACAATGTCAATAAAAAATATTTCTCTAAGTATTATGGTAGAAGTGATGAAAATACTTGTTCATCTTTCCTTTTTACTACAGAACCTACTTTATTTGATTTCTTTAATACTAGAGATAGAAGATTACCTCTTATTGATGTTATTAGTTTTACTCTTAATATTTGTAAAGCAATTCAAATATTACATAGTCGTGAATTTGTTCATAATCATTTAAATGAAAAAACAATACTAATTGAAAAGAATGGTAAACATATTAATTTAAAACTAGGTAATTTAAAACAAATTTATACTGTCAATTCTTCTGTTTCTTTATTCAATGAACAAGCTGAAAAATCACCATTTAGTTCTCCAGAATATCTTAATTCTGAATTAGTAACATATTGTAATGATGTATTTTCAATTGGAGTGTTAATGGTTTATTTACTTCAATATGATGGTAATCAATCTCATCTTAATTTGAATAATACAATTCAACAAATTCTTCAAACTAAAGATGAAGATAAAGTAAATTATATTAAAGAACAAAAATTTAAATGTCCAATAGAATTTTGTGAATGTATAGCAAACTGTTTATTACCAAAAGAAAAAAGATTATCACTTGAAGAACTAAATAACCCCAAATCATTAATACCCACTCTTGAACGAATGAAATTAAAATATTTGTTATAGATAAATTGTTTTTTATTTTTTTAAAATGGTATATATCCAGAAAATTTTATTTGTTTAAAAGATAAAGTATTAACTTAATAATAAAAATACAATGAAATAATAATATAAAATCTTAAAATAACCCTAACCGAAAAATAACTCAGAAAGATTGAACTTAAAAAATCAAGTGAAAGAATGGTTTCATTAAAACTCCAAAAAAGACTTGCTGCTTCAGTCCTTAAATGTGGTAACAGAAAAGTTTGGTTAGACCCAAATGAAACCCCAGAAATTTCACTTGCCAACAGTAGAAAAGCTATTAGAAAGTTGATTAAGGACAGATTAATTATTAAGAAACCAGCTGCTATGCACTCAAGAGCTAGAGTTGTTGAAAGAAAACAAGCTAAGATTCTTGGAAGACATACTGGACATGGTAAAAGAAAGGGAACAAAGAATGCTAGAACTCCACAAAAGACATTATGGATTATCAGAATGAGAGTTCTTAGAAGACTTCTCCTCAAATACAGAACTACTGGTAAAATTGATAAACATATGTATCATGACTTCTATCTT